CATTTTATGAGTGAATGTAAACGTGGATGCTGTCAAATGGAATCCATCCTCAATCTAGTGATTTTATCCCCACATTGAAATCTTCTACTCTACTGGGAAGATTATCTGGGTTCTTTTAATATGCACACAGGTGCAGCACACTTGGCAATCAGTATTATATATATCATCACTGTTGTTTTTATTATATAATGTTTGCTGGTCATGCCCACAGAAAGTATAATCGATTATAGTGTTTGGTGAACAGTCGTCAACAGGAATTGAACATAGAACTTCAATGATGAGATGTAAAACATGATAACTACTTTACTCTGCATATACAGACTTTTTTGCAATCACGCTATAAATCTGGCAATACAGCATAAATTCTGGTGATTATACTCAACCATATATATATATATTTGTTACAAAGACACTGATATAGTATTTCCTCACAAGTCATTCAATATTATTAGTATTCTTCAATTTTCTAAAATAGTTTTACGATTATATTACATAGAAATGCCAGAATATTTGGTGAAATTAAAAATTTTACAGATATAAACTAGAAATAGTATTAGAAAAAAATATAATTAATACAACGTTTCTTTTTATATGAAATCATCCCTTGTTTTTGGTAAGAGTGATACTTTTCCAGTTACATGAATAATTTATAGAAATTACCTTAGTGTTTACAATATATGTATAATTGCAAACTTTATAAGCCTCGTATAAGGGTGCATGTTTTCACTTTCATCGTTTATAGTATTATACAAACATGGACACATAGTAAATAAAAGACGTATTTTTGTGGATTTCCCACATGCCACGTTGATGTGGTACTTACCTCGGAAAGATTAATTGCCAGCGGGATTGAACCAGCAAGGTAGCATCCAATCAGCATGGCTAACGACAGGAGCACAAGTCTCCAAAAATCATCCATCTTTTCTTAAAGTCAGGAAGAAATTGATACTGCTAGTGCTACGTACACTGTTGAAAACATCAGTAAGAATCGTACACCGGATCGGAAGTGAAATAAAAGATTAACTTTGACCTGCGCATTGACCCTGCGTGGAGTAGGAAAATAAAGACAAATTGGTGGCGCTGTTCATATTGAGGAACGCGTTTGCATTCATTTTGCTTGCTTGTGGTTTCGTCTAGTAGTTCGGATCAAAATGGTAAAGTAAAACGTTATTGTAGTTCGTTCTTTTCTATGAATGTTGTGTATAGTGCCCAAAACATATATGCTCGTTTTGTGCTGTTTGACGTCACGGAAGTGCCTGTTACAAAACAATGTATTCATTCAAACTACCGAACGTAGTTTTTATTTTGGATTTGCTCAAGTTGAGGCTTGGATAGCGCCATGTTTGTTTCATACATTCGAGTTTCAACAAATCAACCTTTCTCGAAGTCTCAGTTCCAGAGTATTTGTTGGTACAGAAAACAAAATACTTCCTTGTTATTGTATGCACGTACACCGGCTGCAAACGGCATCTATAATGGTGTTCCGAATTATTTGACAAAACGCGTAATTTCTAGGATCTTTCTGCTAACAGCACTAAAACTTTAATCAAGTTCAACAAAAAATATTTACATAATCATTCAGAAAACCTGCAAGTAGTAGTTCAACTGTTTTGAGAAGTCACAATCTCATTCTGATTGGACCTGCCATGTATATGTAATATTCATTCATAAGCAGTGTTATCTAACGATAGTGAAGTCTAATGCAGATTATTCAAAATTATAATATTGTGTTCTGCCCGGTATTGAGATCAATGCAAAAACACTAAAACAAGAATGTGTGTTTTCAATGTTTCTAAAAGTTTGTCTGAATTATTTAAACAACAAACCCTTCATTCCACATTGAGAAATGCTTGTTATTTTCATCTAGAAAGTTACCTATGTAATTATTATGTATTAGTGTGTTTTCAGTCATTATTGTGGTTAATTCTTTCCAGTGTGTCATCTTTTATTTACAAAGCAAGGTCGTTATTTCATTTAGAACTTGTTCATTTGATTACAAGTCGTTTGGACCCCTCGCCGTTTGGACCCCAGGACGATTAGACCCCTCGACGGTATAACCGCTCGACGGTATAACCGCTCGACGGTATAACCGCTTGACGTCACACTTCTCAACATTTGCACCCAGCATTATTTGTCAAAAGTTGCAACATTTTACTGGATAAAACTAGAAGATACCTGACTTTGGCAACAGAATCGCGAATTCGGCGATCCCTCGATGGTTGAACCCCTCGTCATCACAAGCAACAACCACTTTACTGTATAAAATTAGTTGATAATAAAAAATTGGTAACAGAGTCGCAAATTACAGCGGATATCTTTTCTGATCGATGCCTGTACTGTACTGGTATAGTAGCTCTATCGATGAGGGTGAGATAACAACCTCTTACACCTTTACAACTCGCTGACCACCATTAAGGGCAAAATGGTTTATAATTCTATGTCCAAGCTAACATGGTCTGCCAAATTGGAATCAGATGACCTAGACAAAATATTTATTAACAGTCTACTTACATGACATCTTATTTCTTTTTTTCAGTCACACACAATCTTATTAGTGCAGCCTGGTAGAAAACCTGAAACGAGGACGTATTCTGATTATGAAACTGTCAATGAGTGCATGGAAGGTCAGTGAGGTTTATGTAACTGTATTGTAAATATCTGCAAGAAGTGCACCTACTCACAACTGAGTAAAGTAATTACAATGACAAGTGTATGATAACAAAAATAATGCACATATTTTAAACTTTCTCAATGTTGCAACTGCAAATGCATGAATACTATCAGTAAAGGCTTGCTAAACCAAACCTTTTGAAAGTTGTTCAGCATTTTATTCTCAAAGCAGATTTTAATCACTGAATTGAGTGTGCACTACTGTATTGCCAGTATAATTATTATGCCTTAATCACTGATAAGCTGATATCTTGGATATCTTTGTTGGATTGCTTTCAGAGTTTTGCAGTGTTCTCTGCAAAGTTGATGTCAAGCATAACAATTTGTCTAATTTGCATATTTATATTTGCAGCTACCGTAAAAACTTGATTAATTGGCGGTCCCTATTAATTCACGCACACCATTTTATTTTCGAATGCTAATTTTTAAATGTATCCTTTTAATTCGCAGGGTTCAAAAACATATTTGAAATTGTATCCTATTGTATTGTTCGCGGGCCAGAATAAAGTGGATAACTCAGAATATATTGCATGAAGACATTAAAATATACATTTTGAGTTGTTATGTTATCAGTACTTGGTGTAGCTGCATTCACAGATGATCTCCGTCATCACAGCCTTTCAGTTAGCAAGCAGTTTAGGTTCGGTAAAGATTTGACCTGAAAAAAATCTTTCCCCCACGACACTACAGATGTTGGGCAAGATTATTACTTAGTCGATAAATATCCATCGGTCTGCACATCGATTACGAATTTCCGTGATGGGAAGCTTAGTACAGGGCTTTTTCGTCGCTAGTCCACAGGGTTACATCGACCATGGATGTACATCCATGCATCGCCATGTGTCCGCCATTATTCTATTACATCATTTAAGTGAACCGCCCTATGGTGTGTAAATTGACGTTTTTGGTTGGTCAGGCGATTGACCTCGTGTCACATTTTCATTACACTGGATTCGGTAAAAAAACACAGAGTTAAGCGGTCATGTACGTTCTATAAATCTAACCTTGCACACATAATCTTGTACCGATGTATTTTTTGTCCAAGAAAGACGTTCCCTTTCATTTAACCCCCAGTTAACTCTTCGCGTCCATGGCATGGTATTTGTGAGAGTTGAAAGATTTTTTGAACAAATAACAAGTAACTATATTGATTTGCGTCAAGCTGGGTGGCCCGAATTTAAATATCAGTGCATGAACTCTGGAGGTCATTGCTCAATGCCGCACATAATTCAAACATGCGGTTGTTAGTACAATATTGTAAACAAATTTGCGTAATTAGAAAAGCAGTGCACTAAGTAAACGACGTTGATATATTCAAAACCAGTACAGAGTTGCATACAAGTTGCGTAATTACTGTACTGTAATTACTGGATATAATAACAATTTTACTAGATTGACACGCGGGGCAAGAAAGAAAAAGGTTGCTAAGGTAACGCGCCAGTTCAGTGCTTGACTTCGAGTCAAACTTCGGTCAACACACACTTGATGTCAGCATTGCCGCGCAGCAAATTTCGCAAAGAAGTACTTGAAGCTCAATTGCGCCTCGAAATGATATCGCTGATCACTCAGTTGTCGCAGCGTGTGTTGTCATGTCCATGATGCACCCCGTTTTGACTTTGGCTTGCTTTTCCTTCTAGTGCATGTTCTTGTTCACGTAAAATGCGACCTCTCATCAATGTATTAAACCACTTTGAATTTATACTTTGCATGATTATATTTGGTCAACGCGAAACATAATTTTTTCTAAACATTTTCTGAGACCATTTTTAAAAACCCGGGCTTCGTAATATCTGCCATAACATCGCCCGGGCGATGCCTAGAAAATATTAAAAAAAAGGCAGTGCAGTCAGATGGCTACTTTGTAGCCATGTGTTCATTGTTTGTTTGCGTACAGAGTGACGTTTGCCATTTCAATGTTTCATTTCAAGTGTAACATGGTGCGTGTTCTCTGCCCGAATATACGCCATGAATGTCGCTAGCCACGAGTCTCAGAAGCACTAAAACCATAGACCTTAAGGTCTATGCTAAAACAACGTCCTGTTATCGTGTTCATTGAAAAACAAAACAAATCACTAACGAATTTATGAAAACAGCTCCTTTTTTAACCGATCTAAAAGTACTCTTTTAATTCGCGCACCAAAAACCAATAATTTCTGTTTTAAAGCTATTAGTTCCCGCACTTGAAAAAATAATTATTTTTACTACCGCGAATTAATAGAGTTTTTACGGTAATCAGTTTCCCACAACAAACATTGTGGTGTATGTCAATATAACTCTTACTGTTATTGTGAATAAAATTAGTCAGGCTATCCATGGAGGTCTCCATGGGCTATCTATTTGCAATTAATTACAGATGAGATGGTATATTTTATGTTAGGCGTAATGGTACAATCAACATTGTCACCTGACGACATTGTTGTATTCACTGGCGCTTCTGCGATCATCTGTGTCAAATTGCACACATATCATATTGCACACAAAATTGTGCAATAAGCATCACTGATTGAATTTCAAGTGTCACAGAGTTAGCACACATTTTGTGCAGTCTTCTTGAATTCCAATTCACTCTATCTTAACTAGACTTTTAATAAATTACTTTTGATGACCTAGCAGGTGTGTGCAAGATATACGAGGAGCATTTGAAGAGAATGAACCCAAACAGTCCATCGATTACGTATGATATCAGTCAGTTGTTTGACTTCATTGACCAGCTTGCAGATCTTAGCTGTCTGGTGTAAGTAGCTCTGTATATAACTGTGTAACTCTTTATAATATTTTTACCTTGCTGACAATCATTAGTTGAACAGAAATGTGTATGAGTTGTCTTTGATGTCTCTTGCTTGAACTTTTTCTTGTGGCTACATAACTTATACTGATCTTTTATCTGATCTTTTTCTAACTTGTATCTTTTATTAACCACTTTAAGCTTGACCAAGTTTCAATTTTGGCATGTCCGTATGTTGGTAAAATTTCACTTAAAATTACCTGTTTCTTGCGGAGTACTTTCATCTTACCATATAAAGAAATGCGAATTCCAAATATGGAATGATTACGTGCGTAAGCATCCTCTAATTATAAAAACAAACATGGCTGCCACCAGGGTTTGACCAGACTCCACACAAAGAAGTTTGCTGATTCTGTTCTAAACTTTTTGGATTTCGGCATTCTCATGATGTATCCTTGGAAGGAAAAGCCAGTACGCCATTGCATTGACCTTCGCTGTGTGTCGGTCGATAACGCTGTACCAGTACTGTCTTTGTGCATACTTTGAGGTATCCTCGTAATGACCTAATATTATATTGTTATCAAATATATTGTTACCTTCACAAAATGTAAAGACTCATGAATTCTCTGATATATAATAATTCATCAGGTTGTGCACAAAATACTTAATTTAATCAACTAAATTTTTCAGAATGTGTGTCTTGTTCTACTCAACCAATTGTGTTGTGTTTTTTCCATTTCAGCTACCAGAAATCCACAAACACATATGCTCCTTACAACAAAGATTGGATCAAAGAAAAGATTTATGTACTGTTAAGAAAACAAGCTTCAAACTAAAGAAAAGATGCAAGATTTTCTGGGATATGGGGGTGCTTTTGGAATTTTTATTTAGTAATTTCTTAGTTTATTTAATTCAGGTATTGTTTTGTAGATTACCGTTATACATGTTATTTTTTCTATTCATTTTGGCTATTCATGGAGGCTTTCAGCAGGCAACTTATTAAAGGAGTCTCTTAAATTTGCTTTGTAGTATACAAACTACAGATTCAGTGCAAGGCATATGTGAGTTCTTCTGTTCTGTTCTGTTCTATATAAATGTACCAGTAGTTATAGGTTTAGTAGTGGTGTACAACTCAAGACACATTAAGTTCTTAAGAAAATAGCAGTTTAATACATGCATTCCTCAGTAAATTTTACTCAACAACAGAAATCTGCATGAACATTGATTATGTACTGCAACAAATTGAATTATTATCGATTGCAGGAATCAAAGACTTGTGGTTCTATTGCAGACTGCTATAAATTATAAAGGTTCTTGGGTCTTATGTTGACAACAAATCATGGTGTGTGATATACTAGGTAATTCTTCCCTCTTGTTGGAAACTGTCATGTTAAGCAATGACTTCATTTTAAACCTTTATAATCATGCTCCTATACTGTTGACATATATTTTATCTATCAAATATTCGTTTTTTGAGAAATAAAGTTTTCACATAATCCATTGAGTTTATCTGGTTGTGCATGAATAGATGCTACTATAGTAAACAATTTGTGTGCCGAGGACTAGAGCTAATGTGGTGATGTATCACTATACACCTAGTGGTGAAAATAAGAATTCATCATTGCAAAGTATTTTTCAAATGACTCATTTGGGGCTAATCTTCACTGGCTCGGAAGGTTGTAAATGATTAGCTAGTTTGAATTTGCATAACAATACTGACAATGAACGTGCATTCAACGCCACAAGTTTTTTGTTTTTTTAACCAATCAGAATTCATCTTCCGAGCCAGTGCAGATCAGCCGCTCATTTGGAGTGAGAATATTTTCCAAGGCAGTACAGGATCACATCAACCTCAGCTTGTGTGTCTTTCAACAGTATACATTGGTATGGTGATATATACTATATTGCAGGAATTTACATACACTAAATGTCCAGCTTCCAAGTCTGACTTGTTCTCATTAATTGTCTTGAGACTTTTATACCGATCTTGTGAGACTGACAAAGATAAGAATAAACCATAAACTGGGTTTGCACTCGGCAGGTGGTGAAGCAGACACTTATTTGAATTAACATGTTGGTCATTTGCTTTTGGGCTACATGTTTCAAATTGCATCATGAATATTCCCAATTTGATCATTATGCAGATCCTGCCTGTTTGATCCACTTGTTACAATTTAGGTATGCAAATGTTATTTAAATTAGCTATAAATTCTAAATTGGTAAACAATCACATACATGTGTACTGCAGTCACAAGTGTTAAATGTTCTAGAAAGTGTTGACAGAACAAAATTCTTTCAAAAGAAATTCCCCAAATAGAAGGTTTGGGATGATGGGTTTTAAGATAAAATCATTGTATTTGGACTCTTGTGGATATAAATTCCTTAATTTCCAATGCAACAGTATACCATCACACAAGCAATAACCTAGCACAATGAGCAATTTAAAATAAAGGTCCATTTACTCTATAATTCAATGCATACCATGTAGCCAAGTTGTCAGAGACTACCTGCTATGGTTGATTTAGATTCAAACCACACCTTTGCCAACTTTTTCAATAGTTGAAAACTATTGTCAACTCGTATTGCACCCTGACTAAAGCTGCCTTGGCCAATGTGAAGGTCTGACTTGAACGGTTTACCAGTAAGTTACCAGTGTGTTAATTTATGTGATTTACAACTGGCATAATAAAAGATGAGTCAATTTATAACCATAATAACTAAGAATAGTATTAATTGCAAGTTCTCGAATGAATAGTATCAGGCTTGAACCCTCCCTACAGTGGATGCTGAAAGGAATATTTCTAGAAATACTGATAACAACATTTAGCAGCGATTCTTTCACAAGTGACAGGCTGTGCTTCTTGCATGAATATATTCACATACGGTTCTGGTTTCTGTGAGCAAATCTCTGCTTCAAGACTGCCATGCTGAATTTTGCTTGTTCCATTTTAATTGGTCTCCGTTCGTGCGTCCGTCCAGAGTCATATCTCAGAATACCTTGGACCAATTCCGTTCATTCTTTTCATGTGCCTAGTACTTTATTGGGGACATATGCACATGCAGTGGTTTAGCGATTCAATTCAAAATGGCCGACTGGCAGCCATCTTGATTTTTGAAAATGTTGTATTTTGGACATGCTTTGTCAGTTTTCATTCAAATTTAGTACATAAATCATACATGTTAAGATACATGTCCCCGACCATCCGTGAGTTCCTGAGTCTGTCCGTCCGTTCGTCCATCCGTTAGTTTGTCCAGAGTCATATTTCAGAATCCTGTGGACCGATTCCGTTCATTCTTTGCATGTGCCTAGTACCTTATGTGGTACCATATGGCACATGCAGTGGTTTAGCGTTTCGATTAAAAATGGCCGACTGGCAGCCATCTTGTTTTTTAGCTCCGCTGTCGACTTTGTCGAGCGGAGCTTATCATATGAGTGATTGTCAGTCGTCGTCCGGTGTCCGGCGTTCGTGTCAATGTTTTACTTTTTCGACTTCTTTTTGAAAACTACAAGCCTGAATGCTTTGATACTTGGTGTATATGTACCTTGGGTAGACCTCTCTCAGATTTGTTCATTTCATGATCATATCTTCAATTCTCTAATTTTGATGAATATTTTTGTCATTTTTGGTAAAAAGTGATATTTTCGACTTCTTGTTAAAAACCACAAGTCCAATTGCTTTGATATTACATATATAGGTATTACATGTGGACCACTCTCAAATTTGTTCATTTTGTAATGATATCTTTAATTTTCTAATTTTGGTGAATATTTTTGTCATTTTTGGTAAAAAGTGATTTTTTCAACTTCTTGTTAAAAACCACAAGTCCAATTGCTTTGATATTACATATATAGGTACTACATGTGGACCACTCTCAAATTTGTTCATTTCATGATGATATCTTCAATTCTCTAATTTTGATGAATATTTTTGTCATTTTTGGTAAAAAGTGATATTTTCTTTTTGTTAGAAACCACAATCATTTATGGTGAAAAATGATATTTTTGAATTCTTGTTGAAAACAGCAAGTCCCATTGCATTGATACTATGCACATTGTTAATTTTCTAATGATATCTTCTGTTCTTTAATTGAAATGTGCATTGCTAACAGCGGAGCTATCTCAGCCGAGAAGCTGCTTGTTTTAAATGTTGTATTTTGGACATGCTTTGTCAGTTGTCATTCAAACTTGGTACATAGATTATACATGTTAGATACATGTCCATGACTATTTTA